TTTAAGTTATTTTAAGTTTAAGCATAACAATAACATTTAAACTGAGATATTGCTATACAGTCCAAATTCCATGTTTATTTTAATTTCAGTTAGGCCATATTACATTTAGAAGTGACACTATTCTTACTCTTAATTTATAGATCTTTATAGGTCTTTAAATTAAGAATACATATAGCTCTGGGAAATGACAATTTAAGCCAAACTGCCTATTTCCTAAAGAACAATCTTCCTTTGCGAAAGTAAATCACAGGAAGGCCTAGATGCCAAGTGAATAAGCAGCTTAGAGTAGACAGCTATAGTAGTACTATATTTTTATACAAGTAACCTGGGACACTAGAAATTACAGGAAGATAAAGTTCTCAAGCATACAAAATTTAAGAAAAATCTATTGTGGGTGGACCAAACAGAAAATTTCTAATAGCTGGAGAGATTAAAGAGGAAGGGATTAACAAGAAAGAAAGAGGGCATAATAGTAGAAAATACACCGGGCTGCCTGCCTAGCACACTTGTGGCTGCTGGTACCAGTGCATTGCTTTCCATGTGCCCACTTACTTTTTTATAATCCCTTCCTCCCCAATGAATGTAAATGTAAAATGGAATGCTCTTCTTGTAATTATTCCAGCCCAGGGGGGGATCTAGGGGAGGATAGCTAAAGGGCTTCTGGGGGAAGCCAGCCAACTGAAGACAGGCAAATAATGCTGGTTATTTGCAGTTTCTACAAAGGAGTGGATGCGGATCAGTTCCCTTTGGTCTTCTGATGTGAAACTGCCCAAGGTGTTTCTCCTTACAATCGTTCCTTTTTCTCATGAAGAGACCACAAGACAGCGATCTCCGGGAGGAGGGGAGGGGGTAGGGAGACAGGGGAATTCATCGTTTTGCTCCAGCTGCATATTAGAGCCTTTTGAGGACACTAGGTTTGTGCACTTCTCTTGCTAACTATTTTTAGAAATTGTCAATTAATTTAAGGAAGTTTAAGGAAGTTTAAGGAAGTTAGTCATTCTTTTCATTAAGCTAAACATATCCAATTCCTGCAACCGTTCTTCCTATGTTTTAGCCTTTAATCCCCTAATCATTCCAAGATCACTCTCGCAGTTACTAATGTTGAGCCAGGTACCACCCATTCTATACTTGTACATTTGGGGTTGTTTTGCCTAAATGTAAAACCTTTCTTTTCTCTACACTGAATTTCATCTTTTTAGATAGGGCCTGTCAGATCCACCATCTTAGGCTTGGTGCCATGCTGGTGTCCTGCCATCAAAGGACTGGGGGGAGGGGTACCATGGGGGGGGAAACAAATGGGCAACAATAAAGCTGTATGCATTTTTGTGGGGGAATTTGGGAGGGGGATGGGATGACAGCTGAAGAAAAGCTGATCAACGTGGGACTGGTTCGTGCCAAGGCGTCTTCAAGGCCATTTGCCATGAGTGTGGAAAGTTACCAGCCCAAACACCTCAGTGTTCCCAAAACATCCAGGCACCATCGCATTGGCTGGGTTTGGACAGGTCATAGGGGGAGGGACAGGATTGAAAGAAATAGTTTTTGTTGTGTGGGAAACTCAGATTACATCTGACTTTACTGCAATCAGCATCTCTTGGTAAAAGTACTTTTCACTTCAACCAATGGAATCAAGGGTTTTTCTTCCCTAAGGAAGAGTTCCCCAATCTTTTGGGGTTGACAGCCCGGAATGGGGGGGGAGAGAGGAAAGAAGGAATAATTTTGTGAGAGGTTTAAATATGCGTGTGTGTGCGCACGTACATCCACAGTTCATGCGAGTGGGGCCACAAGCACCTGCAATGCTTGGGGCGATGGTCACGCGAGTGGGGCTGCAAACACCTGCAACGGTTGCACAAGTGGGGCTGTGTGCATGCGCACACACATGCACACCGGTCAGCCATTCATGCAACCCAGTGGCCAATAGGCCGCAGCCAGTAGTGGGCTGCGGCCCACAGGTTGGAGACCCCTGCCCTAAGGGATCTGACTGGGGCAGATCTGACAGGGCCCAGTGTTCAAGTCTGTCAAGGTCCTCCTATATCTTGTGCCTATCTTCTGGAGATTTGGCTATTCCTGCCAGCTTGATGTCATCTGAAAATTTGAGTTCATTTTCTATCCCCTTGTCTAAGTCATTGATGAAGATATTGAAGAGTATTTGGCCTAAGATAGAGCCTTGGGGTACCCCACCACATTCCTTCTTATACATTCAGTTCCCTTAAAGATTACATATTGAGTGTGATTGGTCAGCCAGTTACAAATCCATCTGCTGCCGATGCTGTCTAACCCACATTTTTCTAGCTTATCAAGTAGCAGATTGTGCTCAATTTTATCAAATGTCTTATTGAAGTCTAAATAAATTATTTTCACAACATTTGGCTAGTCCACTAATTTTGTCACCTTGTCAAAAAATATTTGTCTGGCATGATCTGTTTTTGACAAATCCATGTTTGTTTCTGATGATGACTTTGTCTCTAGGTGTTCACAAATTTGTTGCTTGATTTATTTCATACTTAAACTGATTTTACATTTAGCTTTTTTTCTTTAAAATAAGGAGATTTGGAGAGATTTTTTAAAGGAGAAATTATTTCTTTCTGCTTTCAGTTTTTTGTTTGTATTTGGACACTGGAATTATTTTATACTTGTGAAAAGTGGTTGAGCCTATAAAGCGGAGATATGGAATTACACTTGAAGATAAGAAGGTATTTGGAACATTGTGTATTGGGGATGTATTTTGTAAAGGGGAAATGGTCCCAGGGTTTTTTATATATTAAAAAGTTGGAACCATTTCAACTTTTAAATGGGATTTTGTTATAGTTAAAGATGAGATGTGAGTTTTATATAAATCAATTAATGTTAAAACTTAAGAATTATGTATGGATCTTTTGTTGGTAACTGGATAAGATGTTATTTATCCAATTTGCATGCTTACAAGGAATGAATTGTGGGATGGAGAGATTTATATTTATTAGCTAAGAAGAGGTGAGAATATTAGGGATCTCTTTACACTTGCCACAAAGTGGGTGAGGAGTCATTTTCCAGGAAGGGAACTTTTTATATATTTATTTCTCTTGTAATTCTTTTTGCTTTCTTGGGTTCTATTATCTTTTATTGTTTTATTTAAACAATTTCCAGTTTCAAGCTGGAAACACAATCATATGATTTCCTACTGAATGAGGGATTCACTTAGTCAGGAATTACCAGCCCCAATTGTGACCGCGAAATGAAGATTTCCGGTAGAGATATGCAAAGCATTTTGAGGCCAAAAACATTTATAAATCACAAGATAAGCAAACGCTGGATTGCAGTCACTCAATTTACGGTTTTCTAAGAATCTACTTGGTATCCAAAAGCAGTGTTAGAAGTACAGATTATATTTTAGGTTGATGCTTTACAGGCTTCTAGGTTCATTAAGTGAAAATAAACTAAAATGTTAAATTAGGAAAGATAAGAAACTTTGAAAGTTCAAGAAAAAATGTCAGCAGTCACACTTTCACTTCAGGTAACCAAATACCCAGGATTTAATATCCATAAAGTCCAACAACTTGTTAGGCTACTGGAGAATGGAAGAAACCTTCTGATTACAAAGAAGGGATTTTGTCTGATAAAACTGTTTCTGAATATATCAAAGTATTTATAATAGAGTACTAAATACTCTATTTAAAAAGAAAATAACAATTTGAATAGCTACTGCAGAAAAGTACATGTCAAGATTGACATTTTTTCTATTATTATTTGCACTCTTTCTGAAACTTTTAGCTATTTCATCAGAAATATTTTTTAAAAATCTCCAAAATATGATTTTGGAGATCTCCTTACATTTAAGTAATATAGAATTATTACAGAATAAGAGAGAATTTTTACCACTAAATTTCCTGGAAGGTTTTAAGAATATTTTGAATCATTTTAACTTGAAAAATATCAAGTTACAGGTAATAGAATCCATTTGAATTTAGCTTATCTAAAGTAAGTCAAATCTGGTTAGCGAGACTACAAGTATATCCCAAGTGAGACTATGGTACATCCCAGATTTGATTCATAAGAGTGACTGGGGATTTATGAAAAATCTTAAAACATGTTTACCCATAAATCAGTCTCAGCATGTATTATGGAACTTTTCCCCAAGAAAATTCTTTGCCTCTTAATCCTTCTTAATATTTCAGCCTGTTGCAGATCTAGAATGGCTGTTATATGATTATTTCAGATGGACAAATCACTCCAAGTGTTAGTTGAACATCTTTCACAAAACTGTCCGCTCAGCTACCCCAAAAATTTTAACTAGGTTAGTATCTATATGGATTATACTAGTTCAGTGGTGGCGAACCTATGGCACGGGTGCCAGAGGCAGCACGCAGAGCCCTCTCTGTGGGCACGCGCGCCGTCGCCCCAGTCCTAGGTCTTCAGCTGGGTTTTATAAAACCTTTTCGCTCTGCCATGTGCAAAAAAAAAAAGTTCAGTCAATTTCAACTTCTCGCAGGAAAAAAAAAGATCTTGAAAAGTTGGGATTGATTGAACTTTTTAGTCCCACCCAGTCTGTTGTTACCACTGCAGCCACGCCCATCCAATTGGCCACGCCCAGCCAATGGGCTATACCCAGCCAATGGGCCACACCCACCCGGCACTCGACGATGCATAAGTGGGTTTTGGGTTGCAGTTTGGGCACTCGGTCTCTAAAAGGTTCGCCATCATTGTACTAGTTAATACAAAATAAAATACATGTGCATATGTGTATTTGTGTCCATGGGTATGTGCATTGAGATGGGTGGATACACAAATCTATAAACAAAACACCATAACTAGGGAATTGTTTAGGTACAAACCTCTTTCATGATTTTCACTCCCAAAATATAAATGAACTGTGTGAGACAGTTAAAAGGACTTGATTAGAGCTGAAGAAGCTTCTTGGATGAGAAGCAAAACGTCTTCAAGAAAAACAAGAAAGTCCAGTTGCCTCGTGAAAAAAAGCACCTTTGGGATGACTTCATTAGAATTTACACATATTTTTTACTTACTTTGATCAGCATAATTTTTTGCTTTCAGTTCAAGTTGCCGAGTTTGTGACTCTAAAGCTTCTACTCGTATCTGTATCTCTTTTTTTTCTTGTTCTTGAGAATCTTCAAATTCAATAAATTTCTGTGTCAAAAGAAAATGTATTTATGAGTATATTTAAACATTGTATATATATTTAAATACTCTGTAGAAGCTGTTTAACCTCTTTTCCAAACCATTTAAGGAGCACAAGCAAAAGAAGTACACATTGTATCCAAATCTATATTATATTAGAGGCTACAGTCCTGATTCTTTCAGGGATAATTTTTATCCTGTCTATGTTGGGATATGGGGTATGTCCAGCCTGTGCTGGCTGCACCTGGACCATATTATTTTGGCTCAGAAATTAAACAGAGTTTATTTTGGACAATACTTTGATGGAAAAGCTACAGGCTATATTGGAATTTTTTAAAAGAAATCCAGAAAGAAAGCAATAGCAAACCACTTCTGTACTGTTACTAAAAAAACTACTGGGACATTTCCATGAAGTCATCAGGAATAAAGTTAAACTTGCGGGAGATTCTACTTTTACCATACAGGTATTGTTATAAACATTATTATCATTCTTCCTATAGCTAGTCCAAAGAATCCACAACAATCCAAGATTTGGAAAATGTACACTGGGGATGGAGAATCCAATTTAACAGTCTGCTCTGCTGACAGAGAGACACAGCTGACACATCTTAGCTTCCTACAGATAAACTCTTAGATAAACTCCACACTAAGCTATTTAAGTAATCCTTTGGGTCTCAAAGTTTTTAAGAGATTATTCAGTGTTTAACAATGAGTTTCTAATCCATTTATCCTGAGCCTCCCTGATAATCCAAATGAAATTTCAAAATAGAACATAAACTTTTTATTCTTAATAAAACAGCAATTCAAACAATTTTAAACTATTCAAAGTAGTTAAAATCATATGGTACCTCAGTTTTGGGTCTATTTAGTACTCTGTGTATAAATATAGCACTGAATATTTAGCTAGAATTCAGCTAGTATGCCTCTAAAGGATTTCAAAGTAAAGTTTTGGCCCAGAAAGTTATGCAGCGTATCTTTTGGGACTTTCCTCTGATGGAAAAAAATCAGCAAATATTCATCTCTATGATATGCAAAACTAGGGACAAAAAAGAAATAGTTAACAAACAACCCTGGGTTATTTTGTGGGAACATAAGGGAAGTAATGAAACCTAATTCAAAAATGAAATGAAACTACCGTAATTCAAAAAAACATAACTAACATATTTTCATTAGACATCAGGATACAAATACTTAAAGAATGGGGCATGTCATAATTCTGATATAATCTTGGTTTGCAAGAGATGCCAGTAAAAACAAAGAAGGCAAAAGATCACAAGGAAAAATACAAATGATCTTCTGTACATACAAACAAATGTGGAGGGAGGGGGTTAATTTCATATCCTAAAAGTAGGAAATCTCCCAACCAACTTAATTTTAAAATAAAAGCAAACACGGATATATCAAGCATATAATAAGGGCAGAAAGGAACACTCTACAGGTGGTGTCACTGGATGTGTTAAGGAAACATTTCATAATACCAAATTACAGAAATAATATTACACTAGCGATGTAATTTTGCACTAGAGATATATAATCTCTTGTCCAGGGTATTCTTGAAATAAAAAACAAAAATTACAAATATATACATTAGATAAACATATATTCTAGTCAAGAGACTTATGTGCATATACAATTATATGCTGATGATTAGAACATACATTGGTTTCTGGCCATTTCAAAACATCTCAGATAAAACTATCTTTAGCCCTATCAATAACAGAAAGATTGTTTTGAGAAAACGTTTACCACAAATTATATCTGTCAGAAAAGATCCAAGATAACACTAATGATAGAAAAAAGCCAAGTGCATTACTTAAAATAGTTTTACCCTCTTCTTTAGCCAAAAGAATCCTTACAAACACCATATGACACATACTCCCTTCAGAAACTAAAGAAATAATGATAAAGATAAACATATTCTTGACTACAAGACAAGAGTTATGGTGTCTCTTTTACTTCAGATGCTACCATAAAGTAATACCGTTACTGCCATAAATCATAAGAGAAATAATAAAAATTAAAATGCTTAACTGAGGCTAGCATAAAAACCCTGATAGACTACGGTATATATAATACCTTGTCGCCTTCTTAGATACTTCCTCCACTTCACATAATACTCCCAAACAGATTTAGAAACTGCTAGAGTTTTCTAGAGAGATTTCAGAAGGTGAGAGGAAGGCAAAAGAAGTGAGGAATTCAGCTTGTCAACAGTGCCTGCATAGCTGGTAGAAGGATACCACTAGCTATGTACAATCATAGTAATTACAATTATTATTACAATTGTCTTTCAACAGTAAATATGCCACAGCAGTGATTGCATTCAGAATTGTTCAAATAAATAAAGGAACATATTTTATTTTTTTAGTTACTAAGAAAAGATTGGACAACCATTTGTCTGAAATCGTATAGGGTTTCCTGCCTAAGCAGGGGGTTGGACTAGAAGACCTCCAAGGTCCCTTCCAACTCATTCTATTCTATTCTATTCAGGGCTTTTTTTCTCGGAGAAAAGGTGGCGGAACTCAAACCTGGCCACGCCCTCATCAAACCCTAGGACCGCCCCTTTAGAGAACAGGAATGCAAGTAAAATTTGGGAGGGGCTATTTCCGGTGTGGGAGGGGCTATTTCCGGTGCGGCCGGCCCGGAAAAAGGTGCCGGAANAAATAATTATTACCCAATAAAAAGACCATTTCCACTCATATTCTTGTCAAATGCATATATGAATATAAATTTAACTATTCATTTCAAAGTTAACTCTTGCATTCATCAATGCATTTATATAACTAATGTTGTAACTCCTTATAATTTGGTAACTCACAGCCAAAATTACCATAATCATTTTTTTAATTCATTACAAAACTAAGTGACATAGTTCATCTACATATCTGGACCAAATATTGACATATTTGTTTCTGATGACAGTGTCTATCCTAATTTATCTTTCATTCTCAATATCATTTGCTTCTTAAGCAGCAATATCAAGCGTTTTAACAAATGAATGCCCAGGATACTGAGACTGTCCTATCCTGCCCACAAAGAATCCGAGTCAGAATAGAGCTGGAAGGGATTTTGGAGGTCTTCTAATCCAGTCCCCTGCTCAAGCAGGAGTCCCTATACCATTTCAGACAAGTGGCTGTCCAGTCTCTTCTTAAAAACCTCTAGTGATGAAGCACCCACAACGTCTGAAAGCAAGCTGTTCCACTGGTTAATTATCCTCCTTGTTAGGAAGTTTCTCCTTAATTACAGGGTGCTTCTCTCCTTGATTAGTTTATATTCATTGTTTCTTGTCTTGCCTTCTGGTGCTTTGGAAAATAAATTGAACCCCTCCTCCTTGTGGCAGCCTTTCAAATACTGGAATATTATTATCATGTCCCCTAGTCTTTTTTTTCTCCAGACTATCCATACCCAGTTCCTGCAACCGTTCTTCATATGTTTTAGTCTACAGGCCTTTAATCATCTTAGTTGATTGAAAAAGTCAAAAGAAAGTTTTCCCCTAAAGAATGGAAGAAATAGCACAACAGTACTTATACTTTAAGTACTCTTCAAAATATGTTACTGAAATATTATAAAAGTTGTCAACTCATGAGCATCACAGTTTTGAGGAATCAGACTGAGAGTTCTAGTCCTGCCTTAGGCATGAGAACTAGCTGGATTACCTTGGGGCAGTAATATTCTCAGACCAACCCATCTCATAGGGTTGCTCTTGTGGAGAAAATAGGAAAAAGAAAAAAGTATTATATATGTTTGCCCTCAAGTTATACAAAATAATAAAGGCTGTTTTAAATAAATGAATACATTCTGGATGCAGCAGAAAGTGAATCTAGAATGCCAAGCATCAGCAGCATGGCTTTATCAAAGAATGTACCTAAAATGTTCAGTTGTGCTATTGTTTAATGAAAAGCAACCTTCAATGTTACAGGTGGAAGAACTGCATAAGGAAGGGATACTTATTTTTTTCTCTTTCACCTATTTAAAATTCAAAGTTTCATTTATAAATATAAAGAGAAGATAGCAACATAAAGCATATTACTAGCAATTATTTTACATAACGCGTCCTATCTATAATTTTTAGTATCAAATGTGTTGTAAAGAATTTAATCTCCCTCCTGACATTCAGTGTCTTAAGAGATTCATGAACAAAATGTTGCTTTGAAGTGACATTTATCTGTTGCTTCAAAGTTTCATTCCCCACATCTTTCCAAACATAATCCTCCACAATAATGGATTTATTGAGGCCTAACATTGCACAGCAAACATATGACAACTACCGCAACTAAAATTACTGCCCCAGGGAATGACAATGTTGAAAGCAATAAACTGAGCCTTTCAGAAGTTCACCCTAATCTACCCATTGCGTCACAAGATGCAGCTGGCAGGAATCCTGGGTAACAGCAGCCAATCAGATTCCTCTGGAAGGATCACAAGCTCTGCAATCAAAGCATCTCCTTCAAATCAACAGCATCCTTTAACCCAACTGTGGAACAAGCAGCTCCACCACCAGGCCTTCGCCACAAGATTCACACCCACGCCTATTGCGCGTGGATTTTTCTTTTCTACACTTTTTTCAGCTCTTCGTGCACTGACAATAGCCTACTTCCAGCTTGGTTATGGAAGTCCGTCCCAGGCTCAGTCTACTGTACACGGTCAATTTAGCTTCTTCGTCCTCTCCCCATCAAACTTTTGACCACCGAGAAGTCCTGCCACTCCTCCAACGCATCCTTCCAGCCCCTCGTTCCCCTCGTCCAAGTAAGCAGAAAAGTCTCTCGAGACCCCCCCTCCGTGGCTGCCAACATCGCCCCCCCACCACCGCGCCCCAAGTCGTCCCCCCCCCGCGCCTACGCACCTCCTCGGCCTGTTTACGCAGCGCCTTCTCCCGCTCGTACTGGGTGAGGAGCTGCTCGTTGTCGTCCCGCAGCAGCTCCAGCTCGACGCTGGTTTCCTGGCTGTGCGCACAGACCGAGTCCAGGTTCTCCAGCACCGCCACGACCAGCGGCATCAGTTCGGCCACCACCTCCTCGTCGTAGCGCCCGATGAGCCGCTCGAACTCGCGGTAGATAGAGCCCGCCAGACCCGACACCCGCTCTGACATCATGGCCGGGCCGGGGCCGCCCGGATCCTCCTGGTAGACCACGCCGTCCGCCAGTTCCATGGCCTCGGAGCAGACGGCGACAAGGACCGGGCGGGCGGCAAAGGCTGGAGGCGAAGAACCCGCAGGAGATGGAGCACCTCCCACCGCAACGGAATCTGGACGGGAAGGAAGCCTGGGTGAAAGGCGCGCGGCGCTGACCTCACCCACGGCGCCGAAGTGGAGGGAGGGGACGCGGGGCAGTGGCGTCAAAAATGGGCGGCGCTTCACCGAGGCCCGACTTCTCGAGGCCTCGGCGGCGGGGGCGGAGCTTACAGCTGCTGACGTGCCACGGAAAAGAAACTAGGGCGGGGCGGGGCACTTGGGTGGGTAGGTGGCTGGCTGGCTGGCTGGGGAGGGGATGGGCTGATCAGGCGGTGCCCCGGTTTCTGTGGATGATTCAGGGAGAAAATTGAGGGGTAATTATTCAGATTGAACCACCCCGTTTAGCCACCTTTATCCCTAAATAAGTTTCCGAGCATCTGAATCTCTTTTCCTCCTGGAGCTCAAGGCGGTGCACACAATATTCACACCTAGGTTGTGCAGTCTGCTGCACGATTACCTGGCAGCGGCGTGTCTTTCACGCAGCACAACAGTTGTGGTTTAACGTATAGGGTGAAGCTAGGTATACTGATTTTGTAAGCCTTGACGTGCCTTTGTTATGTGAGCCCGACCTCGTTTGCTTTACTCGATAATGTATAGTTACAGAAACCTTGGCTTAGTTCATAGTAATGCGCAAAAACATCCAAGCTGCAGTGCCAGTGGATTGATTTTCAAATAAACATGCATAGGATTGGTCAATAAAACTGTTTCCATGGGATCTTTTCCCACACATTAAATAGCATTTACTCGAGCGAATTTTCCGAGTTCACATGACACAGAGAACTGAAAGACCTTATATAGGCTTGATTCGTACCACGTGTTATAATGTGGGTTGGGTCGATTATCATCGGTATGTAATGTGAAGATAGAGTCTGGCTGCAAGAGAATAAGGAGTGAGGAGAGAGGGAGAATTAATGATAACTGCTGGCAAAAATAATTATTTGATTTGTAGAAAAATTGACAGTTACAGAGACAAATTATAGTGGAGAATGAAGAGCGTAATAAAAGTTAGGACGCCGAAGAAGATGAAGCTGATTAGGGTGTGAGTAACGAAGCAAAAACATTTTAACCTTACTTTAATTTCACAATGAAAAGGGAAACCTGTAGAGCTAAAATTGATAATGAAAAAATATTAGTAACCTTTAACTCTTGATTAATATTCCTCCTTATTAATATATTATTGCAAATGATGTGTTTGTCCCGTATTTTTATTCACATGTCATTGTAAATATGCACACAATATTACAGAGCATATTGTAAGTTTTTGTCACTGAGGAGTTTGCAATCTAAATTTGGACAGAAGATAATAAAAAAAAATTGAAGATAAAGGTAGATGAGAACAAAATGATTTTGTGTCATTTGGCCTTTTTGAGGGGAGGGTACTTGGTGTTAAGGCAAAAATTAACAGAAAAGGTGTTTAATAAGAAAAATTGTACAAACTTGAATATGTAAAATCTCAGAACACCCCCCCCAATTTGAATTATTAAAATTACAGCGTCTAGACACATTTTAAAGAAAAAATAAGCAAGTATTTACTTGAACATTTAATGCTATACTGTAATTTCTGAAGAAAAGATCCTGATCATCTGAGATCCTCACAGCTGAAAAGTTAAAAATCTGTCCTTTTTCTTATTCAGAACAATAGGTTAGCAATAACAGGAAGAGGAAAGGCTGGGCACATCAAAACTTAGATCTCATATTCTGAATGAGTTCCAACACCATTAGCTTCCCATTTCACATAGACATACAGTAGCCAGCAGTAATGAATACTGCAATTTGACATTTGCCTAGTTCTGTTTCCAAACTATCTCAGCCTGCAATTTCCTGTTGAAATAGTTACAAGGGAGAAAGTAACAAATATTAGAGTATTGTTAAACTTAAATTGGATATTGATTTCACACAATTGTTAAAATCTATTTTCTAATTTATTTTATTTTCTAATTCTTACATTTAATTCATTGAACAGAAATTCCAGTAACTACTGTATGACTTAACTGTGACTTAACTTTGCTGTTTGCATACAAATAACATTGGCATTTAGGACACAATTTTAGGAGTGTGCCTTTTAATGAGCTCCCTCTACTGGTCCTTCAAGAGTATAACTATAAAATATGCTCTATGTTTTTTCTTTAAATCAAATCCTTTCATCACTGCAGGGTTATAGCCCAAGGAAACTTAAAAAAAAATAGAGCTAACTAGTTTAGGGGAAACTGCATCTATCTAGTTTTCTTGAATGATTATGGTATGGGCAAAGTACATGAATGGAACAGGTGGCACAGTGGAATAGAATTCAGCATACATATCATAGGTTCCCCTATATTTGAGATAGTTACTGAATTATAATCAATAATTTTCAATGTTCCATGTCATTTACTTAGAGTAAGTTTCATAGACCTTAGTTGAACTGACCCATTTGTAGATATTATCCACATAGAACAGTGGTTCTCAACCTGTGGGTCAAAGGCTGTCCGCCATTTTTTTTGTCCGCCATTTTTTCCCCCTTTTCCGGCGGGTGCCTTACCTCCCTTGGGCTGGGCCAGCTGGTGGTCGGCCTGCTCTGTCTCTGCCACTTGCCAGCTACGCCTCGGCTGGCGCAGGGGGCAGAACCACGCATGCGCGGCGCTCCCGGGCAGGGAAAGTCCTCGACTTACGACTGGTTGGGTAGTCCTTGACTTACGATCGGTTTAGTCCTCGACTTACGACCGGTTGGGGTCGCGGCATTAAAAAGGTTGAGAACCACTGACATAGAATAATGCTGTGAACCTATTGCAACAAATGACACCTGAAAGACCAATCGGCTTATTTTATTTATTTATTAGATTTGTATGGCCACCCATCCTAAACTATCTTAGACTCCACCCAACTTTGGGTGGTTCACAAATACAAATCTTTTCTGAATTAAACCTTTTATTATTACAAAGGGTATTTCTAGACAGATAAAAGTCTATTCTATAATGTTCTGCCTTTTTTATTATTGGCTTTATACCTTGCATTTATATCCATTTAATGCTCAACGTGGTTTACAAGGCCAATACAAGTACAAATATTGAGAATACAAAAGGCAAACAAGCAATGCCAATAGAATTAAATCCCAAAATAAATTATTAAATAAATAAACAGTTAAAAGTTTAAAGGAAGATATGTGTTTTTATCAATATCCTAAATATTGGGAGAATGGCAGAGAAACAGTTTTGCCAAGGTAGTGTATTCGACAGCCCAGGAGCCACAGAGAAGGATCTTTCCGTGTATAGTTCAGACTGGGAGTGGCAGTATCTTCAAGAAGGCCTCTTCTGCTGGTCTGAATAGCCATGCAGATTAATGGCAGGCAAAGTAGTCCCTTAGATTATCATTCCTCAAGCCTATGAATTAAGCTCTTCTGCCGAGGTTTTTCTCCAAAGTACCATTTTGATGTTACATAACAACAAAAGTAAGGGCTCTTCCATCAATAATCCCCTAATTGTAGAATGCATCTCATAAAAATGGGTATCTGAAAGCCACACTGCAATATTTTTCTTGCCAGGAAAATTTATTCATTTCTGTTTGTATTACAGTAGAAGTTGGCCATCCACCAGTCTACAGTCTGAAATAAAACAAAGGGCAACCTATAAATGTTTCACAAAATGGAATGTGATTATAGATGTCTCTCAGTGTAGGACTGCCATTTCATTTATCTGATGCATCAGAGTGTATATTTTAAAAAGTGAGATCACACATGGTACCTTGCATGACATGTGATGTTTGTGGCATATGGAAAATAAGGTCAAGTTGTAATGATTCACATTGAAGAATTGTAACAAGTATTGGGGGGGGAGAAATTCCTAGGTAATATTGTTACTCCCCTTTCTTGGAAGACAGGGCTATGTGTTATAGAACCTGGTCCATATTCCTGAAACCAGAGGCATCTCCACACAAGGATGCTATATAAAGGTCAGTTCTGAACTCTCATCCCCAGATTGACCTTGACTGATATCAAAAAGTTAAGCAAAGTTGGATTTCAAGGGACAGAATATCACCAGAAAATCTCAAGGGTGAGGTTGAACATGTCTTAGGAGAAAGGAATAGTAAGGAATATCATTGCCTAGAAAATATTATGAATGTATTCTTGAAATCATCAGAAGAGTAGCAAATTTGGCTTGCAGAGTTTAATCTATACCTGATCAAACATTAACAGTGTTTGAGCACCAAACTGACTTATTCAGGGTGAGCTACAAGAGGTAGCAGCCATTTTTTGCTAATAAAAACATATGGTTCTTCTCTGCAACTTCAGAATTCTCTTTAAGGGCAAAATTAACACCTTTGATCATGCAAAGAGTATTCTATAATACAATTGAAAGGAACAAAAATTATTAGTGAGTTCCTTGATTCAATTTTCACCTTTGGATTTGTGCCATAGCAACTTTCCGTATCCCCCATATTTTGTAGAAGGGTGTCAATTTTGATATTCCCCAATTAAAAAGCCTAGCTTTTAATTGTACAGATGGGAAGTGAAGTTCTACACATTAGAAAACTGCCAAGCTAGAAGAAATTATCTTTTAGTAATTACTAATTATCTCTTATTGGAATTACTAATTAAAATTATGGTACAAAAGTACTACAGATAAGATGAAGGGAATTCCTTCTTTCCCTTTTCAGTATGGATCATTTAAGATAGATTCCTTCTCTCTGATTTCCTAAGTTCTGATGCTGAAACTCTCAAGAAAGGAGAAGTTGTACCAGTTTCATTATAGGACTCATTATTTGTCTCCCATAGTATTGATTAGACGTAAACCCCTCTGCCAAATAGTTCAACCTAAAAAAAAAAATTATGCTGCCTACAAAGCCTGGTAGTTTGTACATCCAAACTAACCTGCTTCAGACTTTACCTTCAAAATTACAATGCCTACACCTTCTAGCCCAGACATGTCCAAAGTCCGGCCCGCGGGCCATTTGCGGCCCACGGCCCGGTTTAATCCGGCCCTCGAATAGCCCTCCCTGCTCTATGTAAATCCGGCCCTCCCACGGCCCTCCGGCAAGTCCCATGAGAGAGAGAGAGACAGAGACAGAGACAGAGGCACTTGCAC